ATGAGAACTGATACACATTTAGGCAAGTCTGTTTCAGAAACATTCTTTTGCCAGTGTAATAACCTCATCAAAAAGTTCCACGTGAAGATGCAAACATGGTGCTGATTCAAACTGGGAAAGTAACAAGTACAGATGTTCATATGCGCCCCCATTCCTCCATAGGGAGGAGATTGCTACTCCTAATTAAGAAGCTGCATAAAAATATCTCCCTGCCTGTTCCTGTATATTTTGTAGGTACTGCCATCTTTCTTCCCAAATCCCAATCTGGAAAGGGGTCAAACAGTCTTGCATTTGGCTTCCCTTTCTTGAGCATCTATTTGAATATTGTAGTTCCAATTTGAACGAAGAGCATGTGTCACCCTGCCAGGGTCGGCAATGGGCAGATAGCCATGCTTCTTTATGCCAATGGTGCAGCTATCCCTTTGACCATCCGTACAGCATTTGAGAACCATAGCAACCTACTATGATGAGGCAAAGCTACTCCAAAACCAAGGTCATGATTTTTTCAGAGGGGGTCCAGAGCTGCAAACACTCTTGGCAAATAAATGGAAACTTAATAGAGCAAGTCAGATCCTTTAAATACCTTGGAGAGATTTTCCATTCCTCTGGATCGTGAAGGGAACAAATTAGGTCAGTCACTGAAAAGGCTGACAAGAGTGCAAAGGCTATACTAGGTTTCTTCTGTTCACGAAGTGTATATCCTCGGCTAGCAGCCATTAAGTTCTTTAAACCATAAATAATCCCACGGATGCTATATGGTTCCCAGCTATGCTCTTACATAAAGTTAAATCCAATGGCAATCATCCAATGTTTAAGGACCTTATTTTAAGTTCCTTGATGAATTTGTCATGCATCCTTAAACCTGAATCTGAGATGGTCTCCTACGAGGGTCTGTATTAGTTACTTTAATTATTGGCTCAAACTGGGGATTCTTTAGCTGTTCAGAGTCTTCACAATAATTTCAACTCAGCTTGTAAGGTCCAGCTCCAGAAGATGTCTGTGTGGCTTCTTGAGCCAGTTTTTGCTAGCCCTGAGATTGGATGGGTGTGAAGCTAAAGGTTCCCTCCCTCCCTCCTTGACATAGATCAGGGAGCCTGTCAGACTCTATGGATTATAGGAGGTTATCATAGAATCATAGAGGTCATCTACTCCAACTTCTGTTCATTGCAGAGTCCACTTGTGTTTCTCTGACAGGTGACCAACCAACTTCTGCTTGAAAATCTCTAGTGAAGGAGAAACTCACCACTTCATGTGTTCCACTGACTGACAGCTCATACAGTCAGGAATTTCCTCCAGATGTCTAAACTTCCTTCCTTGCAGTTTTAACCCATTTGTTCTGGGCCTGCTCTTTAGAGAAAAGAGAGGCAAGAGAATAAGTTCGTTCCTTTGGTCTGACATCCCATCTGATATTTGAAGACTGCTGTCATCTCTCCTCAGTTGTCTATTCTGTAGGCTAAACATACTAAGATCCTTTAACTGTTATTCATATGGCTTGGTTTCTAAACTCTTCAGCATCTTGGTGTCTCTCTTCTGAACTTGATTCAATTTGTCACCACCTCTTTGAATTGGGGTGCCATGAACTGGACACAGTACTCCAAATGGTGCCTGACCAGGGCAGAGTAAAGTAGAACTTTTTTTCCTTGTGATTTAGACTGTATGATCCTGCTAACGCACTCCAAAATAGCATTTGTCTTTCTAGCAACAGCATCACATTACTAGCTCATGTTGAACTTGTGGTCAGATCCTTTTCACATGTACAATTGCCATGTCAGGTTTCTCCCATCCTAAACTTGTACCTTCCATTTTTCCCACCTAGATGCAGATCATTACATTTCCCCTGTTAAATTTCATCCTATTCATTTCAACCCACTGCTCAAGCCAGTTAAGATCTTTTTGAATCTTCTTTCATCTAAAGTTTTAGCCCCTCTTCCCATCTTTGTGTTATCTACAGACTTTGTGGTTGTTTCCTTAACTCCCTCACTGAATAAGGACAGGGCTCAGGACAGCCCTGTGGCTCCCACTTAATAGTTCCCTCTGAGCTAAAGTGAAGCCATTAATGAGCACTCTTTGGGTGCAGTCATTCAGTCAACAGAGAGTTCATCTAACAGTAGTATCCTTGCCCAGTATAAAAGTCAAGTTGACAGGTGTTTATTTTCTCAGGTTCTCCTCCTTTCCCTTTTTGAAGATGGGGATGACATTTGCTCCCCAGTCTTCTGGGACCTCATCAGTTCTCCAGGGGTTCTCAAAGATTACTGACAATGTTTCTGCAATCCATCTGGCCTTAGAGAACAGAATTAATTTAAATTAGTTAAGTTCTGTGTTAGCCTCTCCTTGCCTATTCCAGTCTGCAGTTTCCTCGTTCCCCAAGTGGCATACTAATCACCAGCTCTTATTTTCCTATTTTTGAGAAGATGAATGCAAAATAAGAATTAGCTTACCAGCACCTTTCTTGCCATCATCTGTTAGCTAGATGGAGAGAGGTCCTCTGCTTTTCATTTCAGCTTCCCTTTGCACTTTAAAACAGACATTCCTCCCCCTACCCAGGCCTACTTGCTTATTTAAGGAAAATTAATTATTCCAATTAGGTAGTGTTGAATATACACTGCTGTGTTTTTTTGCTAGGACATATTAAGCATAGCCAATTTCTTTTAAGTATGGATTTGTCTTTACAGTTTCTCCCCATTTCCTCTTCCTCCTTGCATTCGCCCTCAAGATGTCCTCCACCCGCCCTAAAAAAAATCACTTCTGAAAGCCATGACTAGAAAAGCTAGAGCAGCAGCCAAAGGGATAATCAGAGGGAAGACCAGAGAAGGGTCTGCTGGTCAAGAAAGAGATAGGGTGGCAGCCACGGGAGGCTTGGTTTCTCCTGGGGCAGCAGTGCCACAAGCTTGCCTCATGGGCAAAGCTGGGATGGGGCCAGTGCTGGAGGCATGGCTCCTCCCCTAGCCCAAGTGCAGGAGATGGTAGGGTGGACTGCTCATTCAACCAGCTCACCCCCTTACATTAGCAAACTGCGACTGTGAGGCTGATCGCCAAGGGCGGTTGCCTTCTTCTGAATCTGCGTGTACCATTGACAATGATGGTGACCTAGGCAAACCTGCAGACAGATCACCACTAACAAAAGAGAGAAGTTGTGGCCACAGTGGTGGTGCAATATGGGAGCATTTAAACCCTAGGCTTGAAGATCAGTGCTACACTACTTGCCACCATCGCAGTGCGTTGGTGTTTAGGAATCCGCTGAAGCATCATCCAAGCATTCTCGCTACTGACGGACACCCCGTGCTGCCAACAAGGCACTAGAAAAAGCTATTCCCAAAATTACCCCAGAAATTTCCTGCTAGGAAGGTAACCAACCAAAAGGAAACAGGACCTATCTTTGGGGCATTTTTTAGCATTGTCGTAGTTCAATTATTTTTTCATTATTATTAGCACAATATTGGTATTTTAGATACCTTTTATGGTTGCCTTAAATATCATGTGCACACTTGCATGGTGCACACATCCCAGCTTCTAGGCTTTTCTCTTTCTGCCCCCTCCACATTTCCTCTTTAGAGGGACAAATGTTTTAGAGAACGAAAACAAGGACTAAAGTAATAGTATTTCAAAAGTAAAATGTTTCCTGCCAGTGGAGTATTGATTTAAAGGTCTCTTTGGCCTAAACAAGAAGACTGCATTTACAGTAAGACAAGGTATTTTCCTCCCTCAATAAAGATCTAGGAATTTGGCTTGTATATCAGTATTATCTTCTTTGTCATCTCTGCTCCCCTTTTTCCTTTATAGACATTTTGGGAGGGTTAAAAATTCTGTATGTATTTGCTTAGGAACCATTTCGGTTTAAGAACAGTTTTAGTTGTGCTTAATGCTAAATAGTTGTGTGGTTTGTTTTTTAACAAAGGCCGGATTAAAAAAAATTACCATTCCAATAAAATAAATAAAATTACTTATTTAATTAGAGATAATCAGTATTTTTATTTCCAGGCCTCCATCAAAAGGAGTGTTTTATGTTTTTTTGCCTTTTTTCCAAAACGAGATACAACTTGCTGGCAAATAGGGCTAAATAAATCACTGCCTTCTACCAAAAAGATGAGAGATTCTGGAATTTTTAGAAAAGCATAACTTCTCCCCTTTTAATTTTTTCCCCAATGAATTGAGTTCCTTTCATTAAAGTGTGGGCAGCCTTCAATCCTATACATGGCCCAACCTCTTTCTGGGACCCAGAGCTTTTCCAAAACTGATGCCAAATTTCAGAAGCATAAAGTCCAAACCACAATGGTGTGATTTTGGGGTGGGGGGGGAGAGGAATGAAAAATAAAAGCTGTAAAATGGTGTGTGAAGCCTCCAGTAGGCTCAATATACTTATTTTATTTTTAAAAAAACTCAAATGCCCCAAAAGGGACTGAGAATTATAGCTGTGGACTTTTTGCGTGAAACAGAAAAAGATGAAATTATGACGTATGGCTTTGATGGTTAGAAAGAATACCGGATAATAGAAAAAAAAGGAAAGTTCTGTTGTAAACTTAGAGTAAGAGTTTAGTGTAAATTGATACTTATATCTGTTGTGAGGAAAGCCGGAAGCCATTCTTTTTTTGTATTTTTTCTTTTTTCTTTTTTGCACTTTTGACTTTGTTCTTTTCTTTTTCATTCTTTTCTTTCTCATTCTTTATCTTCTCTATTAGTTTTATGTTCGTTTTTATGACTCTTATCTTAAAAGCTAATAAAGTTATTTCATAAGAAAATTATAGTTGTGATCATTCTGATGACATCGGTGCTCCCCTCCTACAGCCACTAACAGCTGAAAAACAAGTAAGTGGAATTGCTGTTTCCCAGCCACAAAAACACCGCTTACCCTTTAATTAGGTTCTGAACTAGGAGAACTCAGTATTGTGGCATATTCCCTGGTTCAGCTGCATTCTGGAAGGTACTGCTAAAATACAACTGACACGAGCTTCAAGCTAAGAACAGAAGAGTATTTGTTAAGATACATTTGACAGACACTCATCTGATTTTGATTCTTTTCGGGAGCTTGCTTTATTTTTTACATATAAAGTAATACGCTACAATTCGGGCTGAGCATTAGAGCCAAAATTACCAAGGGAAAAGCAATTTGGAACAAGTTTAAGAGAGGTAGAATCAGACTTGTAATTATTGTCAGTGGACAGAAAATGAATCTGTGAAATAGAACACGTTTCTAACAAGATATGGTCCTTTTAGTTCATCCCAGCAAGTCTTATGTAACTTAGGGTTCCACAATTTTCAGGGATGATAGTGGTGAAGGTTTCAGTTAGTCTTAGACTGACATGCAGTACAAGAAATAAACTGAGTCGGAATGTACACAGGCAAGGCCAGGGTAAAAACTGATTTAATTTACATACTAATGCCTTTATATTTAAACTTGATTATTAAATACAATTACTAAGGTTACTCCTAATATATTTTAGGTTCTTTTTCTGTCCCATTAAATATTATAACTTGGTGGCTACTTCTGGAGGGGCTTTTGGATCCACATCCAAGGTTCTTGGGAGCCCTATGCAGGTCTCAACTTGTACAATCTGCAATACTGGACAATGATGTGGTTTTCTTTTTTAAAAAAACTGGCTAATTAACTGCAATCTTCTTTTATTTTAGAAACACATCTTGGTATTATCTAAGCAACCCTTTTCAGCAGGGCATCAGCAACCTTGAGCTGAAGAATAAGAAAATGCTCCCTCCAAATGTAGAAGTTTGGAACATACTACACAACATGTATGTCATATGATCTTTCAACACTATGGAGCAATTTACTAAGATACTGCCATCTCAAACTAAATACAAACTTCAGGTGAACTAAGATTGCAGCCATGAACAAATTGTTTCAATTAAGCATAACATGAGTGACCATTTTTGTATGCTGCAGAATTTAAGCTCTTTAAAATATGCCATAAATACATGTGTGTGTGTGTGTGTGTGACAGGAGGAAATTTCATAATAAAGCTCTGTGCACATACAGTTATGCCATTATCCCTGATCAAGCACATTTGATTTGCGATTTTCAAAAGCTGATTGTTTTAGTTTATATTAAATAAGCAACACTTTCCAAATGCAGTTCTAATATTGAGCAATCTCTCCTTTTTTGTCCTTTTTCCAGGCATTACATGAGCATTCAGGAACTACTTCGGTGAGTGATAATTTTTAAAAGCACTTGGGTGGATTTGGACCTCCCAAGCAACTTCCTCTTAAAAATAATCATTTGATTGGATCCCAATAAAACATTTGGAGCACTGAGTGATTATTTGATTGGCTGCAGAAATGGCTTACAGGTGCAGATACAGGTGTCCTGAAGCCCAATAATGGTCTGGCCTCCCACTCTGGCTTGTTCAGCAGTGGATCCCAGCAGGCGTGGCTAATCAGTGGCACCACTCCTATGGATAAGCTTGATACTTGCCCAAACTTGGAGGTCAGACAAAGAGCAAGCAGGTGTCATTTTTATCTAGTGACCAATCTAGTGAACATTGTATGGATGCAGGAAGAGCAGTGCAAGGATCAGCCTTGGTGGAAAAGGATGCAGCTGGAAAGTAGGGAGACGTGTCAGTCAGAGTCACTGCTGCTGGAAGAGGAGGAGGAGGAGGAATGCTGAAAAAAGACAGACAAACTTTTCAAGTGTCAAGTGTGGATAATTCTGACATAGAACAGCTAAAATTATTTTCATATATGCAGGTTTGCTATTTTACAGAACATTTCTCCTTTCTAATGACCACTACTGCCACGTTCTAGACATCTGAGGGCTGAGGCTGCGCATTTGAATTTCAACATCTCACTCTTTATACATTAAAAACATGGCAGTATTTTGCAAGCACTGGTTGCAAGGGAAAAAGAATCCATAGTGTTACTCCTTGTCAGTTCTGCAAGCCACATTAATGCTGAATAGAGCAGGAAGCCCCTTGGCAAGGTCTCAGTGGTACCTGTGGAACTTGATCTGGTTATTATTTATATGGCCATCCAACAACTTGTTTTCTGGACAGCTTAACAGAGCGGCAAAAAGAATAAAAACACAGTTTCATAGTGGTGTAAGAAGTGAGGCAATTGTTTATGGTACAGTTTGGTGATGGTGAAGCATATTTCACATAGTCTAGATTGTGTCTATTGCCTGCTTTTTTTTGCCCCACCAGATCTCTTCTGCCAGTCCTACATGTATGCCATATCCTTTATCTTCACATTCTCCAACTCTACTAGAGAACTGTAGGCCAGTAGTAAATGCCAAGCCATTTCAATCTGCAGAAATCACCAAGGGACATGATGCAGGGATGCAACCTTAAGTATTATCAATATGCACATAATATCCAGCTTTTTCTCTTCTTCACATCTAGTCTAGGTACAAACTGCAGGGGATGTCCCAAATCAGTGCCTGAGTAAGGTAAAAGAGCTAATTAATGGAAGTTTAATCTGGGCAAGAGGGAGGTACTGCTAGTGGATGATTGATAGACCCAGCTGAGTGGTGCTCCATCTGTTCTGAATCTGAAGGCTCTTGAAAAATCAGGCCCAGGGCCTGTTGATGCTCTTGGATCTATCCAGTCTATCCTGGGGCAGGGGAGGAATGCTGTTCCAAAGCGGCAGACCATGACTGAGAAGGATCCCTGTGGTCCCATATAACAATTACAATAATTACCTTCTTTCCTGGGAGGGTGGACCTGGACAGACCCTCTCTTTCAGATCTTACTGGGCAGGTGGAAGCCATTGGGGAAAGGCAGCCTTTTAGATCATTGAAGTTCTAAGCAATATAAGGCTTTAAAGGTAACAGCCAGGACCTTGAATTGCACTCTGGTAGCCAGTGCAGTTCCCAAAGTAGAGGTGTTACACGGCAGAACCTAGAGGCTCTGATCGCTACTTGAACTGCTGCATTCTGGACTAGCTGAAGCTTCCAAGTGGTCTTTGAGGACAGTCCCATTTAGAGTGCATTGCAATAATCCAAACAGAAGGCGACTAAAGTATGTCTGACTGCAGTGAGCAGACCTCCCAATCCAGGAATGGATATAGCTGGTGTAACTGGGCAAAGGCCCTTCCAGCCACAGCTGCCACCTGTTCTTCAAGCAGGAACCATGAATCCAGGAAGACTCACAAGTCACAAACCAACTCCCCACAACTCATCCAGTACCAAATGTGATATACCGTATCCCTGGTTTTGAAAGATTCCTGGCCTGAGAGGCACTTGTCTTGCTGGGATTATGCCTGAGCCTGTTCTTCCTCATCCAGATCCAAACAGCATGCAGGCACAACCACACCTCCTGTTCAGCCAGGAGTTGGGATATAAAGCTGAGTGTCATTCCCATACTGATGATACCTGACTCCATGCTGGTAGATGACAGACAGACAGCTTTAAATAGATACTAAGTAGGAGGAGCAAGTGTTTTGAACCCTACTGCACAGTGGAGGGCCCTAGGATTCAACATCTCCACTCTTCACTACCACTGACTAGTATCTTCCTCTCAGGAAGGAAACTCTGCAGTGCCTCCTTCTCCCTACAAAAGGAAGGCTGGAGACTGGATGATGATTATCTAATGTGCTGGGTCAAGCGATGGCTGCTTGGGGAGAGGGTGCACTGCCACCTCCTTCAAGGCAGGCAGAACCACTCCTTCTCTCAAGGATGTACTGACTACTGCCCTGACCCAGCCTCCTGGTACCTCCCTAGTGGTATTCACAAGCCAGGAAGGGCAGGATCCAAACCACTGGTGGCAGCACTAACATCACAAACAACTCTATCCACTTCCTTAAGATTAACAAGCTCAAACTCCTCCCACGTAACCTTAATTAGACATGGTTTCAATAATCTCAACCGGAGATGCCCAGCTGGTGGTGAACTCCAAGTAAATCTGAGCAATTTGATCCTCCAGTTATCTTGAAAATTCCTCAGAGAGGCCCAAGAAATACTGTTCAAGCCCATCATTCTCTAAAAGAATCTGGATGACTTTAAACAGGGCTGCCAGATAACAATTTATGTATACCATATGAGCTGGAAAAATACTGATATTTCACTGTTCTTATCGCCATGGCGTAGGCTCAAACCTGAGTTCTTACCTATGTTTGATCAGATCACACTTTGTCTTTAGCCAGTACCTCTCTAGTTGTCTCCTCTGCAGGAACTGATCATTAATAATTTATCAACTTTTTTCTAGAATGAAGTTTTATTCCTTCCCTAGTTTTATAAATGCACACCAGCCCTGAAGGTACAGCTTCTGCACAGATACTCTGTACAGAATGAGGTTTAAAAGAGAACTTCAGAAGGTGCATTTGCGTTCCATATGGCTGTCCAGAACCTGATGCCTTAACGTAATCATATTATGTTTAATTTTTTTTTCAAAAAGCAAAACTGTAGCTCCTTTGATTGTAGAGATGTGCTTCGGGGAAAATGGGTAGATAATATCAAGTAAAATAAAAGTGGGTTTTTAAAGATTGCCCTAGGCATGTCTCTAGTTAGACATGGAGCAACAGACACAAATCAGTAAGACGTGAATAGCTACCCCTCCCAGCCCAAATGCTGGTGCGGCACATGTCGCTCTCTCTCCAGCCAACACCAATTGGGTTGATCAGTTGTTTGGAGCACAGCCAGAGCAACAAAAGCAGTCTCTGTTTCAAATTGTCACTTCTCCGCTAATTGGTACATTGTTTTTGAAACGTTCCTTCATGCGTAGCTACAGTGCAAATTGGGAACCAAACCTCATTGGGCAGTGCTTCCCTTCCCCCCCAAACTCCAAGTCCCTCTGTTCTACCACCCCAAGGAGCTAATCCTAGATTCGAAATATGGATTCCAACCAAATAGCTTCTGAGATTTTCAGAAGATGCAAGATATAGTGACCTCTGATTTGAGACAAAGACGTCGTTTGGCACCAGCTGGAAGTAAATCATAGTTCCTAGTGCAGCCAAGGTTTGCCCTTCCACTCTTCTACTGACCTTTCCATGCAGCTTATGGTGTTTGTGTGGTTTATGCATCTTATGTGCCTTCTTCATCTTCTTCTTCATCTTTTTGGCAGCTTTCTTGTCCATCACACAAGTCCCCACAGCAGCAGCCCCAGGCAGCAAAGGATTGATTCCTATTCCTCCGGGCATACCCGGAGCAGGTGGGGGCAAAGGACCACCAGGCAGCATAGGCTGATGACCAGGATATGGGGGCTGAATGGGATGGCCTGGTGGATAGGCAGGTTGCCCTGGGATCCCTACTGGGGGGACAGGGTAGGAGCCAGCAGGCATAGGGCCTGGAGGGAATGCAGGGTTCACAGGAGGTGGGTATGCAGGATTGACACCAGCTGGGTAAGAAGGGTTGGGGGGACAGACTGCTCCAGAGTAGGCACCTGGCTGCCCTAAAATGGAAAGTAAGAAGAAAAAACAATAGAGCTGCTACCCGGTGAAACAAATCCAGCTGCAACCATCTTTGTGCCTATCCCTGAAGGGCTAATTTGCTCATAGAATCTCCAGTTATAATTCGTAGCTTTGGACAAACCAAAATTCTATACACAGCTCAAGTCCTTCCTAACCCCCTACACCCATATGCTGCTAATCTTGCTTTTCTCAAACTGATGTATTCCATGACACTGTCTTGCCATTACAGGAAAGCCCAATACATTTGGATTAAGATCAGGTTGGGAAAGGCTAGTCTCATCTTCAACTCGTGATGCACGCAAATAGCACCAGATCATACTTTCCCACAGTTTTGCAGAGTGCTCAGTGGTAACCATAAAACCCCTCAATTCAGTAGATTCTCACCAAATGGCAATTGCAAAGACCTTTGCTCTTTGAGCAACATCATAAAGATGCTTTGGCTTGGACGTCCGTTGTAAATTGAATCTATCCAAAGATGACCAAATGTGAAAGCAAGCCACCATCAGCAAATGAAGTTCTTAGGTTCCATCTCTTAAGCATATTCAAGGTGCACATCTGGGAGACCGTGACAAAGGATTCCTTTGTGCATGTGCATTTTAACCTTAAGCACGTCTCTTAAAAGCAAGATCCAAATGAGCCAACTGTGAATAGACAAAGCACTCAGCCAATGTAGAGGAGTGAATCTGGCATGCAGTGGTAAGGAAAACACACAGGAAGTTCTTCCACAGATTACTGGAGACAAACTAATTCAGTTGCAGGAAGTGGGCTGGCTGAAGTTAATTGCAACCGGCCATAAATGTCTGCAACTTGCTTCTGGACAGATTTCCTTTCCAGAGGAAATTTGCAAGAGTTCTGCCACCAGTGTGCTAATGCTGATACATTGACAATGTAAGAGACAACAAAAGGACACTGAAGGTGTTGTGACAATTACCAAGTCATTAAAACAAAGGAAAAGAGACAGACAGACAGCTATTAAAGACCATGGCAACAAATGTATGATTCAACAAAGAGCATGCATTCCAAACCTTTATGGAAGGCTGCCAAATGCTGGTCTCCATTAAAACCTCCAGTCACAAGGCCAGCTACTTGCCCAGATAGATTTAATAGGCAATGACATTCTGTACTTGATTTGTGCTTTTAGAGAAGTATCCTAGCAAATCCCATTAGATCTCCTTCCCCTTTTTACCTGCATTGGGATCCCACATGGTCCTCCACAAGAGAAGAATCTGTCAACGGAAGGGAGAAGACAGAGTAAGCCCAACAGTGTAAAACGAGAAGGCCATCAGCTCTGCATGAACCACCTCTGGGGAAAGATGCAATGAAGCCATTTTCTGTCCAGTCATTCTCTAGAGTCGCACGCAGCAGATATTTTGGGTTTACATAGTTTGCTTTCATCACAGTTTCTGAACAAATTATAGTGGCCTGTTTCATTTATAAAGCCAAACCATAAATCATGGGTTATAAACAATAATGGTTGATTTCACAGATCTCATTAAGAAAAAATCACCACCACCAGAGTACAAAATATGATGTGTGAATTCAGCAAGGAGTACTAATCAAGGAGAAGCTGATGGGAAAGAATAATTTGGGAAAATAGCACAGTGAATTTCAGGATTCTTGACTTTTTTTTCCAATTTTTCTTTTAGCATTTCTAGTTCCAACTCACACCAATTTAAATCATATCCTTAACAGCATGATAGAAAATGCACTAAAATACTAGAAAGTATTTTTTAAAAAAATATGAAACGAATCTTTCCAATATTCATGTTTCATACCAAGCTCTCAGTATTTTTAAAGAATGATGAAAAAAGGTTTTCCTACATTCTGAATTTTGAAACACTCAAAGCTACCCATCATTTATTCCCTTTTGGGGTAAATAATGTTATATAAAGTGCAGAAAAAGATAAAGTTGTAGTGAGCAAAAGAAATTAAAGACAGGAGATAAGAGGAAAAAAGGGCAATCTAAACCCAGTTTACAAACATCATTCACGATAACCTTTCATCCTTTTCTGCCCTTGAAACCATCTTTGCTTCCACTACATCCATGCACCACACTGCCCTTTGCTCTTTAAACTTTTTACCTCTCTCCTTTTAGGGTCTCCTTCAACCATAACTTTCTCGATTTTCACCCTTCACATATTTGTTTTGTGATTCATACATCATTTATTCTCTCTATATGACTATCCCACCTCAATGAACTTCTTTTATACTGGTCACCCGTTTATTCATCTACATTCATTCAGCACTCATTCATTCTTAAGCCTATTCCTTGTTTTAACATACAGTACACACTTCTTTAATTAACCCATATTCACTGCATTCAAGTTCCTTTTGTTTCTCCCCCCATACCCAACTTCCACTTCCTTATAGCAAAGTGACCAGAAACATGTTCTTTTTGCTTCTTTCAATCAACGTTCATTTGTCACAACAGGCCACGTACTACCTACTACCATTCTATCTGCATTTGCATATTTTAAAATTTCTCTATCCATTTTCCAATCTTTAGCAAAGATTCTACGAAGGTATACAAATTCATGCACTTGTTCTAGGCATTTATGTGTAACTTGCAATTATACACTCCATTTTCTCAGTCAGACACAGTCATTTTCAGATCCATATTCCTTGTTGCATCATACTGTTGGTCATGTCCTCAGTCAACTACACAGTATTTCCTGTATACAAAAGTGCACACACTCCTGACAAACACACCTACAAAGTCACCACAATCATTTCTTACACATTTGTGCAAAAATATATTAAGCAACCAAGGGGACATCACACATCCCTGTCTTACCTCCTGGTCAATGCGAAACAATTTGTTAAGCATTCCGAATATTCTAACACTTGATTTCCATCATATGCTACAATTATCACATACGGCAACCCATTTTCAATTGTTTTTGTATGTTCTGTAATTCAAGTGTACTCATTTTATTATATGCTTTCTCTAAATAAAAAAAAATGCAATAAACTTTCTGTCTCATGATCACTTACCTGGCATAAAGTTGCAGACCATGTCCCACATTTTGTTTATTGTTACCTCTTGAACTCTTTCTACGTAAATTCTGCCAAACACCTTGCCAAGCACTTTGATTAAACTGTGCTTTCTGAATTCACACTTCCTACTGTACAGGAGAATAATTATGGCATTCTTCACAGACATGTTAAACTAGCTACACAGCCACTCTGTACACAAACCATTTCATATTTTAACATTCTTCCATCTACACCTGCAGTCTTGTTCAACAAATTCACAGAGCCAATTAAAATAACTTTTCCCTCAAACAGTTCAACAAATTCACAGAGCCAATTTAAAATCACTTTTCCCTCAAACATTTACAGTGTACATTTCAGTTCCATGTTTTGACATATCACTATCATTCCCAAACGTATTTCTAAACTACACCATCCAACATCCCACTTGTTACAGTTTAATTTGGGTCTCCCCCCCGCCCCAGCTTTCCCCACAGAGTTGTTATTGTGGGGAAAAAAGAGGAGGAAGGACTACTGGGTATGACACACTGACCTGCTGAATGAAAGGCAGGATATGAAATAAATAATTACTTAAATAAAATAATTTCAGCACTTTTGTTTTTAATTCTATTATCTCTGCTGGAGGTTTCTTCCTTAGCCATTTTCACCCACTTTGAAAACAATCCTTTTTCTTTCTATACGTATCACTCCACATTTTCTCCATCTCTTTCTTATTCCTTCCTTATTCTCCTTGATTACATTTGTAGCCATTATCTTTTTCTCCCTAAACACATTATACCATATCTTTCTCTCATCCTAATTTTTTGCAGGAATCATTCCCTTCTGTTTTTTCTCACGGGCCCATGAAGCATTATTTCTCATATTCCCCATTAGCATGCCTACAGACTTCTGTTTTCTAAAAAAAAAAAAAACTTTTAGAAATCTTAGCACTTTTGCCACTGATGTGTTACTCAAACGAGATTAAAACATTTAGTATTGGATTGAACATTCAGGGCAACAAATATATTATTTCAAATGTTTAGAATTCCTTTCAGTCTTGGGGTCCTGAAGGTATCCCTGAAATGATTTAAATACAAAACACTACATTCTTTTAACAACGTCCTAACGATTCCAGAGTAAATATGGCAGTTTTCATTTCTAATCACATTCACATACCGCATACCCAAAACAACATTTAAAAGGACAAAGTAGAATTAGCATCCTCCAGTTTTAAGGTCTTAATGTTCCAAGGCCAAATGGTGGGAACACACATCAACCAATACGTTTCCATCAAAGCAAATCAATTTTGTGATTGCAATTAAACTAAAAGAATACATGACTGAAACTTGGCCAGGAAAGCTACATAAATTACTCTGCATTAGATTTAAGGAGGATAAAAGCCCCACTCTTTTTCACTTACTGAATCCAAAGAGGTTAACAATTTTCATGCCAAATACATTTAGATCCTCCGTTACAATATGCTTCTCACGCACACTCCTTTACTTATGCCTTGCTACAGGGGTGAACTGACTGCCAATGCCATTCTGACAGATCCTCAACCTGACACACAGGATGATTCCCTCCTTAGCCATCTCTGCATTGAAACACACTGTCCTCCCTGAAATGGTCATGGTTAATGCACACATTTCCCCTCTATGAACATTTGCACTACTGGCATTGCAGGCATTTGGGCTCTACAGGACAATATGGAGAAACTTCCAAATGTTGCAGGTCAGGTAACTATTTGCAGCTAAAGAAGCAGCAGATTAATAGTGTTGAAAAGAACTTTATCTACATCATCTCAATAGTTCTTCCAACTTTATTAAAACTAACATTATCCCTATGTGATGCAACAAGTATGTTGAGGGAATGAGAATACAGTATAGGCTTGTTTAAGGCAGGATTTTACAAGAGAAATGCCTAGCACACAAACTAAGCATTTTAGCTAATATCCTTGTGCTTTCTGAACTGAAGGCGCTTCTAAACAAGAATGTAAGCCTACATTTTTGTAAGATACAGTAAGCTTTCAAGTATGATTTGGATCTGAAATGTTTATTCATTTATTCATCACATTTATAAGCCACCCATCTCATCACAACTCTGGGTGGCACACAAATTAAAACAACATTCAATACAGCAAAAACCATAAGAAGGCAAAAACCTGGGGATTAGCACACTAATAAATCCTCCCCCCAGGCATCTACAGTACTTCCCAATCTGGCACTTGGGGAAAGATCTTCAAGGCTCAAAGGATGGGAGGGTTGGGGGTATCTTAAACCTCTGGGGGGCAGGCCCATGACAGAGAAGACAGACTGCCTGGATCCCATCAGATGACACTGTTTTAAGGATGGGACCTGCAACATGCCCACTCTATCAGATCTTACTGGACAGACAGAAACAACAGGGGAAAGGCAGTTCTTCAATTAGCCAGGGATAGACCCACTCCCATTTTGCAGTTGTAAACACTTACAAACATGCATATATAATTAAACAAAGAAGGCTGAAAAAATCCAGATGGCAAAAGCTCTGCTGTCTAGTGATAATCTGGATTTTTGCAGCCTAGATATGATAACCCTCATTACAAACCAGCACTATATTTTTAAACAAATCTGTAAAAGGTCTTTGTAAAAAGAAGTGTTTTAAGCCCCCTCCTGTCTGTAACAGGGAGGACACCAGCCTCAACTTAGCTGTAAATTATTTCATAGTCTAGAAAGAGCTGCTGATATTAAGCATATCTGTTGTGGGAATGGCAAACAGTGTCGTTTGACAATCTCAACAATTGTTATAATTCTCATCTGAACCATTCTTAGAGTAGTCTTTCTCAATTTGTGCTTTCCAGCAGTGTTGGAATGATGATTCCCAGAATTACTGGTTGGGTATTTCAGAAGTTACAAACCCAGCACTGGCTTTGACCATTTTACTAAAATGTAACTTACAGAAGGCATCAGATTATAATGTTTTTATCATTTCCAAAGAGTTTTTCCAATGCCTAGGATCAAAGGTATAAATTATTCTCCTCCCTGTTTCATTTACTAGAACAAAGCAGCCAACCCCTTCTTGTGGACTCTGTAATACTCTGTAGTAATTAAGTATTTGCATTAATTAGATATCCTTCTCCTGCTGTTGCCGATAAGGACATTGGGTCTTCCAATATGAGGTTGAGCTCAGTAAGTTAGAAACAAAATCACGTTTTGATCAATCAGGTCTACAAAACTAAAGAAGTTATGAAATGCTTATGCAAAGCTAGCACATACACCTATTATTAGCATGCTCAAGCAAATGAGAAGGGAAACAAAGGGAGGCAAAGAACTCAGCTGAAATTCAGAATCCAGAAAAGATATCAACTGGTAGAAACTTGCAGTCAGTACAATATTTGATAATCATTTAATAATATGATTAAACTAACCAGACTACAATTCTTTACCCCCCCCTTAAAGTTGATCTGTTAGAAATGTGGGATTTTAGAAAAATTTGAATCAGAATTTTTTCCTACAGAAATGACTATTATTGTAATTAGTATTTGTCTCAATTTCCATAATCTGCACAAGGTTTGGACTACATTATTTGATGTGGAAAAAAATAAATCTTGTCTATTTTATGAGATCTGAAGAAACTAAGAGCTTTGAATGAACTTTTTCTTCTGGAGTGCTGAAAATAACACTGGGTAATAGGCAATAAAATAATATGCAATTACAATGCACATTTAGCTTCTCAATTTTTTAATATAATCATCTAAAAGCAAAAAGCATACAACTTTGAAACTACCAAATCTGTCAGAATTGTGGACAATTTTGACTCTGAAAAATCTGCAGCCCACATCTCTTGTCACAGGTGGGACTGTCTTCTGAACATCACATATGAGACTGTGTCTCACTAGAAAACATTCAAGTAGAAGATATGAATTGTGTGCAGGGAGAAAGTATGCCTACACAAGCACATTTTTCTGGATAAAGTTTTATGATACTTTGTTCATCTTCAGAAAATGTTAAGTGGGCCATTTACTGAAATTAAGTGAAATAGGGAAGAGTGTGTGGGATCTGCAATCAGGGCAAGTCAGCTCAGATGGGAAATAAAGCAAACTCTACTATGAAATTTCCAGGTTACAACAGTTATGTATGTGAATACTGCACATGGAACTGGATTCAAGTTGTAAGTGTGCTATACATTCTCAAACTCCTGTTTTGAACACTGGAATGTGAACCTCTTACATGACTGCTGAAAGAGTGAGGCATAAAAGAGTTTCTGCTTTAGGAACAGGTCTAACAAAAATTAGCACCACAAGCAGGACTGAAAGATATACTAATCCAAACAGGGAAGATAAAAAATTGAAGTCCTACCAGAAAACAAACAAACTTAATCACATATGTAGCTAATCTTAAACCATATTACTGTAATGGCTATATACTCACCACCCTATTTGTATTTTTGGCTTCCCATATGCATCTGGTTTGCCACTCCAATGGGCCTTTGAGTTGATTCAGCACAACACTTACTCTGCTTACTGGATAGTAACAGACCACAGCCTGGATTCAAAGCCTAGTTCAGTTATTTATTTGATTTATATCCATCATTTCTCCAGAAGATCTGCCCAGTGTCACTTTATAACAATCACCCTTTGAGACAGGCTGGGTCAAGAGAGAGTGATTGGCCTCCATCACTCAGCCCCTGATGCTGCATTTTAACCTGAGACTCCCTTATTCTAATGCAAACTCTAATCACCACAATAACTTTCCTTGCAATGAATAAAGGGTAGCTCAGGGTATCTAATTCCAAGTTCTCCATGTGCAAAATGGAAATTGTAAAATGGATTGTTTCCTAGAAAATTACTGGTATTAAGAAATGGACATTGCCATAATGTCTACTGCAGAAGGCTGTATATAATCTTGGAATAGTGATTGTTTGGCAACTAAATATAAGTCAACAATTTGATGTGGCTAGAAAAAAAAGGCAAATGCAGTTTCAAGCTGCATCCACAAAAATATAGTTTCCAAATTACAAGAAATAATCATTATCAGACCCCACCTTGAGTATCTGCACACTACTAGTTCTTCACACTACGCTTTAAGAAGAATTCAGACAAGAAAACAAGCTCAGAGAAGGGAAACAAGGATGATCAGAAGTTTGGAAACTAAAGCCTATGAAGAAAGAAGGAATATAACAACACCAAATACCTGAAAGGATTTCACAGAAGAAGGTAAGACTTATTCTCCATTGTTCCAGAGTACAGGCTCATAAATAATTGTATTAAGCTATAGAAAGGTAGATTTTGTTTGAATGTTATGGGGGGGAAAATCTACCAATGAGAACTATTTGGCAGTGGGTCTAAAGACCAAGATGGCTGAGGGGTTGCCCTTCATTGGAAGTCTTCAAGCAGAGGCTACACAGCATTTAGTAGGGGTGGTTCAATCTGGATTCTAGCACTGGCTGGAGGTTGGATGTCATGGCCTCTTCCAATCTATGATTCTGCAGACCCAAGTCCTTCATTGCATAATTTTAACATCTCCTCTCCTTTACTTATCTGCTTGCTCATATCTTGCTCTTACTTACCCAACACAGACTCCCTAAGTAAAGCCTATATTCTTTTACACAGGATATACCTACACTGTTGACATAAAACACCAGCTAGTGGAACTAGAAGCCAAATGTAACCTGTGCCCACCCACTTCCAGGCTGTTCCATGCCATCCCCCTCTCAATTTTCAGCCGCCCCCCAACAGCCATCCAGCATCCTGCATTTACTGAACACATTCGGCAAGTTGGGGGCCAATTTCCCAAAACTTCTTGTACCTTTACCACTTTTAGGGTTCTCCAAGGTTTTTCCTCCCTTACAACATTTTGGCTACATACACTCAAGAATGAGTCTGTTTCTAACATCTAGGGTTTTAGCCTGGACCTCTTTAAGAGTCTGTGATACTCTAAGGGGCAGTGAAGTGAACTAGACGTCACCAGTTAAAAATCTCACCTTTAGAAGGACGCAATGAGAGAGTAACTCCAAGCCTCAGTACCACATCAGCAGGGATTACTAGAGGCCCATCACCAGAATTAGTGCGTGTGTAATACTTAAGTGCTCTGAAATATTATTTAATGTGCTTATAATTACTAATAACATGATTATATTCCTCAGACTAAAGATGAGTCATAGCTCTACGTCGGTGTTTTTCAAACTTAGCCACTTTAAGATGCGTGGACTTCAACTCCCAGAA